GGAATGTCCCTATTACAGCAGGTGTACTCTGGATGAACCCATTTCAAGTGTGAGGAAGATGGACTCTGCACGCCTGACAGACTTCTACCGCCATTGGCACCCACTCCGTGATGTAGCAGTTGTATTAAAATGGCGACGCTGATAATCCAAAAGACCTTTCTCAGGGAGAATTTGAGACCGACTGCACAGATGGGCCGCGGAGATAAATAAAACTCTCTGTCACTACGGTTGGTGGAATAGTGCTGCGACGCCCCCAAGGGAGAGAAAAACTGTTTCGCTCCCTCTCTCCGATGCCTCCCCCCACCGTCCGTCTGTCTGCCCTCTCCTCCTCCTCTCCTCACGTTCTCCGAATGGGAACCGGAGCCAGCTTTCCGCAACCGGGCTTTTCCCTGCACGGTCTTATGGGGAGCATAAAAAGGCCATTTCGGCCCTAACTTTCCCCTTCGTTATGAGCTCAGACACAGCGAACTGTCAGTTTGTCAGAGAGCCAAGCACACTGGAGCATCCCAGTCAGAGCTGTCAGAGAGGTTTGCAGGGGGAAAACGATGAGGCCTGGGTGGACAATCTGCTTATTGTGGGTACCTGTTTGTGCTGTTAGAACACTTGAGCCTTGTGGTTTATTACCGTCTAAGCGGTTCATCCATCCTCGCTGTCCAAACACCGCTCATTAGCTGCAGGCCTCATTCCTCTGGCTGCAGAGAGGTGTCAGGTCCGGATGATCGGCTAAACCTCCTACACGATGCCTTTCATCATGTCAACAGAGTGCGCGTGAACCAGAACCTGAATCTGAATCTGAGGCATGCACTCAGCGGAAAAAACCCACCAATTTATTTTACATATGTGTCTGCACGTGTGTGATAAACTGTCCGCACAATCGCGTCGGGTCTGAAAAAGAGGAGAGATGAGTGGCACTGGGGTTTCTGCTCCAGCAGGGTGGCTTGTGCCCCCACTGCCAAGCCGATCGCTTTCCAAATATTGATCCAGTACAGATCTACTCATAGCCCGGCTGCTGTGATCAGATCATCATGCAGCGGTTCAGTCATGTTCGTTAAATGCTTGAAGCAGATTAAATAAGCAGCTTCATTATTTCAATGTACAGGTCTGGAAGCAGTGCAAACTGCTGTGTTCCCTGTATAAGTGTATATCAATTAACTTACTTACATTTGATTCGGCTTAGAGTTAACTGCGATTCTTTCAGCTACAAATAAACACACACAAAAAAATCCCTGTTTTCATAGAGATTCTAGTAGATTTCCCCCATGATAACCAAAGCATATGTTCAACCTCTATTTATTAATTTTTAAAGAAAATTTTAGCCTCAAATAAATTTGCCTACATTATATTTTTAGGGTTTTTCTTCTAGGAAGTTTTCTTTCAGTTCAGCAGATGAAAAAATTAACATTTCTGGGGTTTCTTATCTGCACAAAGACTCATATGGTTTTCAGTCACAATCGATATTTATTGTTTGTTCTTAGCTTGTTTCAGGTTTTTTTTAAATCCCCATTATTATGCTTCTGAACCTAATTGTAAATAAAAGCTGTAATCATAAGTAATGAAAAAAACTGGTGTTTATGGGATTTTTTTTTGAGGCACAGTGGATTTAATTGGTCACCTTCAACCAGCATTTATATTTTCTCTGAACATGCGCGTGAAATAATCCGTCTTTTTTGTGTTGTTTTTTTAATCACAGTACAGAAATGAACCCTCGTTATAATTAGTCTGGGGAAACGGGCCAGCTGTGGCGATGGCTTTGGAGCGGTTAAAAAAAGCTGTTTTATTGTAGACACTCACTGTCTCGATAGCCTTGTTTACCGTTTGCCTCATTTTTTAATGAAAACCCTGGAGGCTAATACACCAAAAGTGTCCATTAGGAGTGCCGCGCATGACTCTTTGTGGACGGGACCACGCTCGCATGGATTTCCTGCGCCAGAGTTGACTTTAAGCATTTGTAACCTGATAGTTTTTCTCTGGGTTTCTGTGTTAAAATAATTCAAATGTCTCCTCTTGTGTTCAGTGGTGTGTCAAATCAGTATCAGTATCAAAGTGCAGGTTTTATGCCTGATCCCGCTTTGTTTACCTGTTCCTAGACGCCCTTTGAGCCTCACCGCTCTGTTTCTTCTTTTTTTTGGGGCCCAGGAGTACAACATTCACGGGTGGTGGGTCGGCGAGCTAAACGGCACCGTGGGCATCGTCCCCAAGGACTTCCTGCAGCCTGCCTACATCCTCTGAGCTCCAACAGGTACCGAGGTACTCTCTTATCATCAGCATTATGGACCATTACTGTGGCCTAATACACAGAAACGGTCCCCCTGGTACTCATCCAGATTGCCACTGAGGTATATGCAGTCGTTGACCTGCCATTTATGGCATCTGCTGGCTGGAAGAAGTACTGCATAAAGCAATCAGAGTGCTGCAATGGGCAATGGGCGAGGATAAATATATGCAACAGAGGCATGATTACAGCGTCAGTTGTCCTATTTAAGAAAATGATTCCCTAATGCAGTCAGATAGGTGCAGCTTAAAATGAACACTGAATTATTAATGCGTCCTTCTCTGATACGGTTTCTTTTTCTTCACAGCGCTGCGGCTGCCGGCACGTCCTGCCATGAATTACTCTTGACACATCTGTCAGATAAGCGTTTGGCATTTCAAAATTATTCCCCTTTTATACCAATGTAAATTATTATATTATCACCTAAACCTGCTGCAGCTGTACTTACTCTTGTACACTATAAGCCATTTATAAAAGCCTGTTTAAAGAAGAAAAAAAATCAAAGTGCACACTAGAGCTGGAGTAATTAGTCTGTTAATCAGTTTTGATAAGTGATCAATCGTCCTAAATGTGAGACTTCTCATTTTCTTTATAAGTCTCAACCACTGTGTAGAAAATTCAGAGAAGTGCCAAACTAAACAGTGAATGTGTTAATTCAAATAAAATGACAGACACATCTATAATTAAAAGCACCATTAGCTGCACTTTTGAGTGATTAAGAATGTTGCATGCATGCATTTATGAATCCACTGGATAGATCTGAAAACAGGACGTTGATTGTTAGTTTATAAATAATTTCCTCATAACTGACATAAGAAACAGTAATGTAAAGTATTTTAATGTAAACTCTGCTCAGAAATACTAAAAATAAAATATTGTGTGCTTTTGTTTCTGTTCTAAAGAAAAAGGGGGATTTTTAAAACTGTTTATTTGGAGCCACTAGGTGGCAGGCTTGCTTCAATGTCTTGAGTCATGTGTAAAAAGCTGTTTAATAACATGTCGCGACAGTAAAGAGGACAAGGTTTTATTGAAATAAAATAAAATAATCATGTGCACATGTACATGGATACCATCACTCACATTATCCTCGTACTCTTTGACATCTGTATTTAAACAAAACTCAAAATAAACCCCTGTAGTTATTACCAGGAACAAAACCAGTGAAACGTTAAAATCCCTCCACAGCTTAGATGCAAACAGCTTATTAAAATAAAGTCTGATTTCTGTGAGAAACCTCACAAATAGAACCTGCCGGTCCCTTTTAAATGCAGCTTAAAAGAAGCAGAAGTGTTGTGGGAACAACGTCGCTGCCAAGATGCAGACAGGTTACAGGCAAGACGACCAGAATTTCCACAGCAGGCATTCAGGATGTGTTTGAACTCGCTCATTACGATGCCAGAGGACGACGGCACGATCACACTGGACGTTTCAGTGATCAAACAGGCTTAAAAATTTTGATGTAACTGATAAATTACAGGATTTCTTTTAGTGATAACTCAGTTATTGTACCTTTGTATTTTTATTTAGCTTTTACTAGAATTTATTTTTAGCTTCCAGATTAGGTTTGCTTTGTTTTTCCTTTCTTTTTTTTGTTAATTGAGGTTAAGTAAAATAAATATAAATATTAATTTATATAAATAAAATTCTATATTCATATTCTAAGATTAACCCAAGGTTGTTAGTTTTAACTAAAACTCTGTGTAATAAAATCAAGACTAACTGAAATTATATTGATAATGATGATTAAAATGAAATAGAAATAAAAAGAAAATTACTTTAACTTCAGTGTTTGTCTGGTAAACTTTTTGTTGTGTGAGATTTAGGATGTCTAACTGCCTCAAAAGGGAAAAGTTTGTACTGTAAAACCAAAAAAAAAAAAAATTTGACCAATGACAAATATCCTTTATATTTTAATATTTAAGTAAACTAAAATCAACACTGACACTAATAAAAACTGAAGTGAACATTTTCAAACCCACTCTGGGAATCAACAAATTGCACTGAAAGGGAAAGAAAATTGAAATAAAAATGAATTCGAAAATACAAAACTGCTGTGTTTTAAGTGCATTGTGTAGCATGCAATAATACTCTTTACATGCAGATAGATGGAAAATCCATCATAAAATCCAGTGCATACAGAGTAATGAGTGATTTCAGACACACTGAGTTGTGGAGAGAGGAAAACACACAGGTGTGTTAATCATGGCTACATTTCACGCAGGGCAGGTCCTCTTTTTGGATGAACCTCAGTTGACGTGTTTCACAGGTGTCTGCTGTGGAAAAAGGCCCGCTGGAGTTAAAGCTCACATGTGTGAGGAAGAGTAAACTATTCTTAAAAATAACCTGTGCCCATCTTGCCTGAATGGAGTGCATAAATTATAAGTAAAAACTCTTAGTGTGTGTAAAACCATGTCATGGCCCTAAAGGTGTGCAAGGCATCCATTTCTACTTCATGAAGCTGTATAAACACAAAACAGGAATCACATTGTTACAGATCAGAAGTTCAAACTGGAGCCTCTGTGCATTTCACAGGTTGACTTAAGTGTGTTTTTTCCCCTCTCATCCTTCAGTAATAAATACCAGTTTAACACATGATCAGAGACGTGTGTACGGGGACTGAACTATGCGTATGCTTGTTCTCAGCCCGAGTATCATCCTGCGTTAGTGACCAGCACAGTGAAAGCTGTGAAGAATTAATACAAGCCGGGTATAACAGCTATTTAACTATTTAACAGCATGTGAAGCACATTTAAAGAGCAGTTAGGTCTCATTTGAGGCTCCAAATGTGACGAGGAACTCTAGATTTAGAGAAAAGTTCACTTCGTTCAATGTCTGTCGTGAAAGAAATGTGTCCACTGATTATTTATTTTAGTGGCTTTCACCATTCCTCCTCTCCTTACTGGGAATTTAGAGATCCCCTTTTCAAAGAGATTTAAATAAAGGTTTTTCACATTGATCTTTTAGGTGCTGAATTTCCACTCTCTCTGTCCACTGTAGGAAGCAGTGTTGTGTTTACAAGTTAACCCCCTCCAGGGTTTTTCTAGGCTCAAAATGGGCCTCAAGAGTCAAAGTCAATGCAAAGACTCTTTGTTAACATGCTTTAACTTACAAAAAGAAAGAAAAAAGTCACAGTTCTGGTGATTTTGCTTTAGTAGAAAGCCAAAATCAATTTAGTGGGCACTAATTTTTTCATATGCAAGAAAAACCCTGACCTTGTGTTAGCATTTTTGGTTGTTTTTTTTCTTTAATTAAATCAGGAAAACATCTCTTGATGGTCAGTATGAACAGGAACCACAAATTTCACTAAGTTTCAATACAGACACAAAGGAATGTGAACTTATCCTTTAATTTAGGTGGATATTTTTGCCTAAATTCAGCCCCAGCTGTTTCCTTACTGAAAGGCCTCAGAGTATGAACCTAAACTTAACTCGAGCACCTTCTTCTGTTCACTGAAGCCAAATGGAGAAGTGAAGCAGTCAGGAGGGAAATCAGATCCGGTACATAACAGAGAAATTCTAATGTTAGATTCATGCTGTTTTGGAAGTGTTATACCTACATGACAGAGTGTGAGGTGTGTCTCGTAACCCTGACGATATGAAGACGCTGTGTACGATGGGCAGAGTTTGGAACAGAGCGTTTGATTCAGTGATCTATATTAGAGGAAGACTTAACTAATGCACCTCCACCTCCTGAGTCTCCTCTGAAGGTGAGAGCGTGGCTTCCTCCTCGGTACATCTACCGTCACCCAATCCACGAGCGTGGCTGGTTGCTAAGATACTAAAGTCTCCATTTTCAGTCAGATATCCTGCAGTTACAGCAGAGTTAAGGTCTGCAGATTTACTCAGGTCACTGAGGGTGTATTGCAGGTCCTCATCCTCCTGGGCAGAAAGGTGCAGTTTTTCATCAGCATATCCGTTCACCTGCAGGTCCATGATGTTCCTGCTGGATGCCTCCACATCTGACCAGCGAGTGGCGTCTTCAGGAGGAGTCTTCACAAAGTCGTTTGCAACCTGGATCGAGTCGTCTGCCTCCTCACAAACGCTTTCCTCATCACTGACCTTCACGATGCTGTCGTTGGAAGATGGCAGAGAGGAGCTGACCGTGTCGCCCTCGTCGCTTTCATCTTTGTTGCCAGCAAAATACACTTCCTGCGTGTCATCACCATCCTGTTCCACCGCAGATACACCGTTCACCATGTGGGCCTCGTCACTGATTTCTGATTCGAGCAGTGTTTCCTCGTTACCTCCTGCTTTGTTGCCTTTTTGGTCATCGGCGTTGACTTCTAGAACATGAACCTCATTAACCTCAGAGATGACGGGATTCTCGGTACAGATGTTTTCCATAGCTTCCTGAGATCTGGCATCACTTCCTAAAATGTGTTCATCACAGTTATTTTCCTTAAAATCGAAAATCTTCTCAGAATCATCATATTTTTCAGGCTCACAGTTGACTTTTCCTTCATGAGCATCCTCATTACTCTCCTGCAGCTCCACCTTTTCTTCTTCACCTGGAGGTAAAACAATCTTCCCATCGATCACACTGTCCTCAAAGCCGATCCCCGTGAACGTGTGCACCTCCACCGGAGTCTGTAACCTCTGCTGGATCTGCTCAGCAGAGCTAAGACTCTCTGGACTGTCCCCCAGATAAAAGGTTGCCTCTGACGGGCCGCTGTCCTCAAGAACCGTTTCAAGAACGGCCTCAAGATGGTTGCTCTTCTGGGAAATCCTTAATGAGCATTTCTTCCTATGGTCCTGATCATGGACCTCCAGTAAACCTTCTAGAGGGTCAGCGTCACCACATGAGACGAGCTCCGGGCTGATGGTCTCATTAGGTTGTTGGCAAGGTTGATGAGGAGCCGGGCTGTGGAGGAAAACGGGAACAAGGGTTTAGAAATTGTTCAGTTTAAACATTTTATACATTTAATGAGGAGTTGATACGTTGCTACTAAAGGGGAGAGGTGTAAGGAAAAGCTCTAGAATACGGAGACTATGCTGGTTAGCTCAGCTTAGCACAAAAACTCCAGAATGGAGAAGTAATCATCCAATAAATAAATAAATAAATAAAT